GAGACATTGCTGGGATCATACAGGAGGTGTAAACATCCCTATAGGAAAACTGGGATTTGACACACCACAGTTTTTTTTTGTAGAACTGACAGAGCTATAAGGTGCTTACTTTTCTTGGGTTTGCTCTTTCTTGGGAGTGAAAAATTTTACTTTTTCAGGGGTAGTACAAGGAACAATATATGTTGGTATTTCATGGCCTCAAAAAACTCTTCTGCATAATTCAACTTCACAGAGAATTCACACTCAGAACTTTTTAAAACTACTGGAATTCTAGTACGCTAGTAACAGCAGAGGTTTCTCTTTGCTTTTCTTGTTCTAAAAAAGAGTTGTCTCTGCAATGACAGAAAGGAATTATTTCAGTTGTGATAAAGTATACCCACACTTCAGCTCAGAATTGTGACGCATTGTCAATTCTACTGTAAAAAAGTTAGTCTTTTGGCAAATCTACCAAGAAGGCAATGTCTGTCAGTAAATATGAAATATTTTCCTCCAAAATACCAACACGTACACCTGCTTAATATATTACACCTTATTATAGCACATATATCTATATATCCTAGTACAGGACAAACGTGCCTTGTCTCAGTGGCTTCATCTATAGGGGGAGTTCTGTCCACATTCTTCTTTGCTGTTGTTTGTTCTCTTCAGTTTTAAGTCATTTATTGATTTTTTTTTTTCTCCTTTGGAGTATGAGACCAATATCTTCTACTGGCTCAAAGACAGGCGGTTGGGTTTTCTTGTTTGTTTGTATTTGGTTTGTATTTGTATCTCCCCAGAAAATTAAGGTTGTATTCCCGTTAAATTGATGCAGGTGTTTGGTTTTTTTTCCTGCATTGTCCCCACCATAGTGAGTGCAATCATTATCTCACTGTGCTCCCTTTTTATCCAAGCCAAGTATTAAGTATATATGATCATAGGCAAGCACAGAAATTTTTGGACAATCAGGATTATGCAATGGCGGAAAATGAGAAGAAAGCATTTTCTAAAGGATGAAGGGCATTCAGCTTCAATAAGCAGGAAAATCCCACAAGTTTAATTCCTGTAATGGATGGCAGTGACATTCAACTCTGCTTTATGGGATATTATTCCATAAAGGAATGCAACATAAACCAGTAGTTAAACTAGGACAGATGTTGCTGGAAATATTTAGATGTTTACTTTATATGATTAGTGATCAAATATGCAGTGCTCTTGGGTATGTCATCCTCATGACTTCCCACAAGACATAATATTTTCCTTGTTGGAAAAAGAAAATAACTAAGTTGTAGGCAGATTTTAGGAACTGAGATATTTTGGACTGGTGATGTAGCTGCTTAAGCATCCATCAGCAGGACCACCCCCCAGCCCAACCATTTCCCTGGGCTTGCTCTACTTGTCTACTGCACACCTTAAGAATGCTTCCCCTGTCTCTCAGTCACCATCTCCCAGCCCAGCACTGGTTCTTTTCTTGGTAGCTTTCCAATGAGGAACTTCCAATCTCAACTCCCTGGAGCAAGCTGTCTGTTCCTCCCCAGGAGTAACCTGTATCTTACTGTAGTTTACTGGGCTTGACTTAAGAAGTAAAAAGGGATTTTTCTAATGAGGGTGTGAAATCAGCAGATGGAGGTTTCCTTCACAAAGCTCACAGAAGTTTCAGCTGTTTCAGTAAAACTGTTGCAACCTTCTCCAAGGACATGCTTGTAGTCATTTGAAGAAAAAAAGAATTAAAAAGCGCTACAGTTAATATGTTTCTGTAAAATTAAAGCTGATTTAAGACTTCCTGCACTCAAAGTTGCATTAATATAATCCCCTTTAGCTAATCAGGTGAGTTGTATGTAGAACGCACCCAAATCTTCTATTGTAGACGAAAAAGGACCGAGCAGCTGCAAAGAGCTCTGCCTTCCTTTCTCTTTCAAGCCTCCCCCACCTTCAAACCCAAAGCACATCCTATTGCTCTGAAGCAGGGACAGAACTGAAGAATCATAGACTTTTTTAAGGGAAAGACATTTAAGATCACCAGGTACAACCATAAACCCAGCACTGCCCAGTCCACCACTAAAACATGTGCCGCATCTACATGTCTTTTAAATACCTCAGTTTTGGTGACTCAGTCATTTCCCTGGGCAGCCTGTTCCAGTGCTCAAGAATCCTTACTGTGAAGAAATGTTTCCTAATATCCAATCTAAACCTCAAATGGTGCAGGTTGAGGCCACTTATTACCTGGGAGTAGAGACCAGCCCCACCTTGCATCTCCTTCCATTGCCCTTCTCTGGACATGCTCCAGCACCTCCATGTCCTTCCTGCAGTGAGGGGCCCAGAACAGGATTTGAGGTGCAGCCTCACCAGTGCTGAGTACAGAGGGACAATCACTGCCTGCTCCTGCTGGCCACACCATTGCTGATACAGGCTGTTGGTCCTCTTGGCCACCTGGGCACACTCCTGTGTCACATTCAGCCACTGTCACTCAGCACCCCCAGGTCCATTTCTTGCTGTGCAGCTTTCCAGCTGCTCTTCCCCCAGGCTGTAGCACTGTGCAGGGTTGTTGTGACCCAAGGGCAAGACCCAACCCTTCACCTTGCTGAGCCTCATACAACTGGCCTTGGCCCATCAATCCAGCCTGTCCAGACCCCTTTACAGAGCCTCCTCACCTTCCAGCAGATGAACACTCCAACCCAGCTTGTCATCTGTGTCATCTGTGCACTGACTGAGGGTGCACTCAGTCAGTCCCCTTGTCCGGGTCATCGATGGAGACCTTACACACACTGGCTGGCCCCAGTACTGGGCCCTGGGGAACACCACTGGTGATCAGCTGCCAGCTGCATGGAGCTCTGTTCACCACCACTCTCTGGGGCTTCCCACCCAGATGGACACCCAGTTTTTTACCTAAGGAAGAGTCCACCCATCCAAGCTATGAGCAACCAGTTTCTCCAGTAAAATGCAATGGAAACTGTGTCAAAGACCAGGTAGACTACATTCACAGCCTTCCCCTCACCCACCAAAGGGGTTACCTTGCCACAGAAGATCAGGCTGGTCAATTAGGACCTGTTTTTCATGGATCCATGCTGTCTGGGCCTGATGCCCTGGTTTATCCTGCACCTGCCATGTACAGCTCTTCATGATCTCCTTACTGGTCTCTGCTCCTCTGCCCTCCCTGTCCTTCACCGCTTGCCCAACACCAGCATTGTCCTGGCTGCCCCTGCTTTCCCTGAATAAAGGCCCTGACATTGTCCCAAGGCCAGATTAATTGCCTTTTTTCTTTTTTAAGGAGTAACAGTTGATATCACTTTCTTGAAGCCAAAAAGCAACACTCTTTCCACCATTTCATTCTTAATATATACTCTTATGTTGCTGAACTGGTCTTTGTCCTCTCACCCTCCTTTTTGGGTTCCCTACCCCCTGCTCAACAACCTCCAGCCTCTGGGACGCCAGGGCCAGCATCAGAGGGAGGATGCACAGTGGGATGTCACCATGCAGGGCTGTGGCTGCAGGGAGGGGAACATCACAGGCCATGGCTGGACCTCATGCTTGAAGTTTGCCATACAAAGGTGTTAGCCTCTGCTACAGCAACAGGTTGTGTCCCTTCAATTCCTCAGTCTCCTTCATCTTTCTCCTCTGTCTTTTGTTCTGCTTTCCAACACTAAGCATGAAGCTGGAGCAGCCAGAAAGACAACAGCTGCCCTTTTCCAAATAACTCTCCTATGCATCTATCTTTTAAGGGGATTGAACGTTTTTGCTTTATTGTGAACCTTTTTGGCCAGTAGACGACAGCTGGTGAGGGAAGCTTGATTCTAGAAGAGCTGAAGCTTGTGCTGGGGTGGAAAGGCAAAATATTGGGGAGACCTCTGTATAACCAGACAAACAGCAAGATTTCCTCAGGCTCTTACTTCTTAAATGCTCATCTGCTAAATACACTGCTTTTATTTCATTTACAGAATCTTACCCTGCTCTGTGGCCTTTTCTGTATGTATTTGCTATGGTATGGTCATAAACAATGTTTGTCATCAGCCTGAGGGCAGAGAAATTCATACAGCTCTTACACCACTGCAATCCCATTGACTTCAGGAGAATTACTTCCCATTACAGCAAGAGAAATCAGAATGAGTAAATATGCCATTTCTTTGCTGTTCACCATTAACACTGTAATGCTCACTGGAGTAGTCAGAGAAAGCTGGAGAGTGACTCTTGTTTGACTCTGTATATCTTGTGTGATGTGTGGGGCATCCTCTTTCCACTGAGAACCAGAACTTCCCTGACAAATTAGGGAAGAGTCAGTGGCAGAATAATTAGGGACTATCTATTTTTACTATCAATTTGGAAATACTTTTTAAAATTTTGTCTGTCTCTTTCTGTTGGGAATCAAATCATTCAGGTCATTCAGTAACCAAGAGAAGGCTTTCATCCTGATCTTATAGTTGGGAAAACTCTGAGACATAGACATCTTAAATAATTTGTCCTTGGCCATAGATGGGGAGGAGACAGAAAAAGTTCTATGTTCTATATTGACACTTGAATACATTTAACCACCAAGCTACCCTTCCCCATCACTCCTTAAGTGTTTAATTTAGGCACGAACATAAGAAGGCAACAAGTGGAGTGCAGTTTCAGATCCACCTTGGATCAGACACACAAAGCTGCCAAACTGCTTCCAGCCATCACATGGCTGCTGTAGGAAAGCCTGGCAGCAATCTCCCTGTGCAGAGGGCATTTGCAATTGCATACCATTGAGATACCCCCTGATGGGCTGTCACTTATTCTGGAAGAGGAAGAGAAAAGATCTGTGCAAGCCAGACGTGTTACGAAGGCACATCCTCATAAGCAGACCCAGGAACCAGAAACCCATGCATGTGCAAAGTGGATCTCAAGGTCACAAATGCCTTGGGGAGTACCTGCTGGGTCTATCTGGCTGCCTATTTCCCTCCATGTGTAGTAAAGAATAGCCTGCCCCAAATTTTTAATCCAGAAGTCACTAATGACAGTCTTTCCCTTTCCAATTTTAATGCTTTTATTTTTTTTCCTGGCATTTTCCTTTAAGACAAAAAGGAATAATTAATTTCTCAATAATTAATCTCACAGTTCTTTGTAATGAAGAGGTTCATGTACTTTCTCAGCAGCTTTTCTCTCCACAGATGTAAGCAAGGCTAGTGATAAGGTCAAGGGGGTATTCTTCTGGGCTCATCTATATCTACTCAAGAGAGCAGTGGCAAAATAGCTCAGGACAAGGACACCTTCAGACATGAAGGTGGCAGCTCCAGCTCACAGCTGTCATGTCTCACTGTACACAGTGCTGTTGTCCAAATAAGTTAGTTTTCCTATCTCCACACTCTCAGCTGCACACTCATTCAAAGCCTCGAGGTTTGCTGTTCAGGACCTGGAATGCATTTGTGTTTTAAGCAATGAACCACAAGAATGATTTTCTTGCCTGTGACCTCTGCTGATACTTTCTCAGCAATGAACATACCTTCCATTTTTGTCTAAAGTATGCAGATGTCATCTACCCTTCTCAGTCCTCTCCTCCAAGTTAGAAATGTCAGGAATTACAATTGCTGACACTGTGCTTGCTGCAAGACTACCAAGAACTGGGGCTTTGGTACAAGCAGAAATCTGACCTGCTGTTTTCTCTGCCTTCAGCTGAGGGAAAGAGGATGTTGTCTCTCTCATGAAGGAGTTTCACAAGGAACCCACATAACCTGTTCTCAGCCACTGCTGGTTTGTCATTTGAGTTAAATTGCAGCTAAATGAGTAGGGATTTACTTGGCTTAACTAAATTCTTCTACTAAAAAAAAAAAAGAAATCATTAAAACATTGCAGCTCAAGTTTCTCGCATTTCTCCCGTCACTAGCTCATGACTTACAGGCTGCCCTGTAGCAAAACCACAGAAGTTGAGATTTAATATTTGCAGCAACTGATTTACACAGGCAGCAACAAATGCATTTGCAGATTTGTAGAAGAGAATAAGGAGTCAAAACCAGGTCAGTCCCTTTGTTCCTACTGCAGTTTTCACTGTTGCAAAAGGCAGTTCAATTTTGTATAATCACAACAGCAAGCAGCTATAACAGAATACATTAAAAACACATTTGTTCAATAAAAGAATGCCATTTCACAAAAGGTCATGCTTTCAGTTTTGAGGAGACTGCTAGTCATTTGCTTAAATGCCAATATATCATATCACAAACCTTTGACTTCTCTATTCCCTAGCTGCCTTAGCTACAAAATGAGGCAAACAGTATTTACCTACGTTCTCAGATGCTGAAAAATTTTGCTATAAATAAAAAATACATAGTACTGAATATTTAAAATGAGGCACATGTGAAAAAAGACATACAGTCCCATGAAGTGGATAACATATGGGAAATGCACTTTAGGAGATGCAGTTAGGAGACTCCTTGGGAAAAACAAAAATCTTTGTAATAATGAGTTTTAGCAGTTTAACTGTGCACAACATTCCATGGGATTTAGTTGCAAGCCAACTAGTTCATACTAAACTTCAAGTATTTAAAGACAACCTGTCATTTTAGGGAGCTTCTCCTCTCCACCTGGATGACTGCAGCCCCTGCAGCCTGTTTCCAGTGACAGAGTGAAAAACATCACCACTTCTGCATGATATTACCCATAGCTCTTAGGAGCTACTCCCCATCATTTTATCCTGTGCCCTGTAAAGATTCCAACGTATTCCAATGTAAAAGGTGACTTTTATGCTAGAAGAAAATTTGCTTCTAGCCCAGGGGTAAATTTATTGCATCATTTAATCTGCAACCTCCCCTTGAATACAGGAACCTACCTTTTGTCCATTTGTCTCTTGGGCACTTAGTTAATGAAGGAGAAGGATTTTGCTGATTGTATTGGCTGAATTTTTTGTCTTTTTAAAATGTTGTCCAAGCAAAAAAAATGAATTCTCATCAGTCCAGGTAGATGGGAAGAAATATACTACTGTCTGTGATAATAATTCTTCTTGTTTTGTCCTGCATGGTATTTAAAAGAAGCCAGGTTTTTGTAGGTCAGTATTACTGCTAAGAAGCACCTGTAATTATGATTACTTTTTAAGGAACTATTCTTTAAAAATTTATATCTTTTCCAAAGAAATAATTAAATTTGATGGTGTATGGGTAGTCTTGTTTTTAAAAGAATCCCTCTAATGGATCACTTTTATATCAGAAATTTGTAAAAGTACTTTTCCTTCCCTATATTACAAAAAACAAGTAGAAGGAATGGGGTTTGCTAGCTGTCACACCTAGTAACTCCATCAAGGACATCTGAAATGCCTCGAGTGTGCTGTCATGAGGAGGTTGTGCTCTTGGAGTTTCCACCCGACCAAGCCCTTCAGCTTGGGACACGTGGTTCATCATTCTCAGAAATAATCTGTAAGAATTTGTCACCTAAGTTCAGTGAATATGTCCAGCTCTGCATCTGCTCCTTTGAACAGGCAAAGGACAGAACAGGTCTAAGGATGAGAAGGTGTGAAAACAATACTAAAGTGAGAGAAGGTGACCTCATAGAAAAAGATGAGAGTAGAAGAGCCTAAAACCAAAAGCAGGAGCAGAGGATGGAGAAAAAGGCTGCAAGGCAGAAGCTGGAGAGGTAGATGTGAGAACTGAAGAGGTTTTCAGTCAGTCCTCTTTCACACTTGTTTCAGAATTTGGCAGTGAAGAGACCTCTCTTGAGCCTCAACATTGCCTCTGCTGTCTAGTTAACAGCTACAAAGCCCAATAGGGAAAAGCATTTTTTCTCATTCCCCTCATATTCTGCCTTTAAACACTGCTTTCTGAAACCTTAATTTGAATTTAATTTTGTTTTTCAATGTAATGAAAAATCCCTACTGTAGCAGGATTAAAAGACAATCAGATTTGAGTGCTGAGCAAAGTACAGAGGAGGGCAAATAATCAACAGAGTTGACAGCCTAGAAGCTCTGGGCCCCTTACAGAGTAACTGCTGTGTGGATATAAAATTTTTGTCGTATCAGTTACACACAGGCTTTTGTTTTGCTTTTTTTTTTTTTTTTTTTAACATCTTAAACATCAATTATTCATGGAACTTGGGGAAAAAAAATCATAATAGATGCTCTCTTTTTCAGGGCAAATTTTGAGAGAAAAGTAGTGCTCTAAGAGGCAAAATATTCAAACAAAAGCACTGATTTTATCTCTGTTAGTGATATGAGCTTTCAAATGGCATATGATACAACCAGATTGGTTCAGTAAGAAAACAGGTTTAGAGTTGGATGGTAGCTGAGATTTTTCTGTTGTTTTTTATGGCTAAGGATAGCCAGATGGATAAGGATTTTATTATAGGTATTGGCAACTTAATGCTGCTGAAAGCCTGACACATGACGCATTGACTCAAAGTTGGAACATTAGATTTTCATCAAAATTAAATTCAAGCAAATTTTTCTGAAACTGCAGCTTGGATGTGCCACCATGGTTTGCATATTACCTACCTCAAATGAAGAAAACCCACAAACATTGGTAATTATTCCTTCTGAAGTGAAAAAGGCGAGCGAAGAGCATTCTCCCCAGGGGAAGAGCCAGAATTCTTGAGAACTCGTGCATGCAAACACGCATGCTGAGCTCAGCTCCCCTGCACACCCTGTCACAGCCAGGTCACAGAGCACACTGCTCTCTTCACATCAGGCAGCCTGAAAAACAAGGTTTCACCATCAGCCTTCCGCTGCCTTCCAGTCCAATCCCCAGACCAGGAAGAAGCACTCCAGCAATCCCCAAACCTTGCACTGCAGATGAACCTCTAACACACATGTGATTTGTTGACAGTACATGCATGTATTCATCAGTTAAATCCTTCATTTCCTCATTCAGGTATGAAAACATTGTTGGCTTACAATGCATGAACCAAAGTGATAGTGCTGGACATGAAAAGTCTCCAAAGGAGCCTCCCATGGGTGACATTTATCTATGTATCTTCACTTGTAGCATAGACAAAGGAGTCATTTACATTCCTGAACGATCTTGATACCATAAACAGAGTAGGGTTAGCAAAGAAAGAATTCTGGCCACTAAGAGAACAGAGTAACTCGATCAGAGCACTTTGCACATTATGACATGTCACTGTTAACACAAAGGATAAAAAACTTCACCGTTCATATCGCTCAAGCTGCAGTGATTAAACATCTCCCTGGGGTTTCTCCTCTCATCGGAACAAGAATTCTTCCTAAATTTGGCCCCCATCTCTTAGCCAGAGTCACATCAGACCTTCTCCAGTAACACAGACTTCAACTGCACAAGTGAGCACCAGCTATTATCTGAGTCCCTAAAGAAAGTCCACCCGAGCTGAGCCAGCTGCAGCAGTCAGCTCAGAAAAATGACCAGGAGGCTGCTGTGCTTGAGGTACAGCAGACAAGGTCGACATTTTCCTGACTAATAATGGATTTGGGACAGGAGGCATTAGAAATGAGGTAGGTTTTGGACGCCGCTTCCACCAAACCCAGGACCTGCTTGGCTTGTGGTATTCCCAGCACTCAGCAGCCCAGCTGGAAGCCATAAGCACCACTGGCTCAGACTTGTGACATCACTGTGGCACCAAGCACATTTGTCACAGAGTAAGACAGCACAAATACAGCCTGGTAGCCAAGGGAGCTTATGGAACAGCCAAAGTGCTGGCTGCAGGTTCAGCTTTTCTGCAGGTTAAGCTTTTCTGCAGGTTAAGCTTTCTTGTTTTGTTGGAGTGGTCACATTTTTCAGCCACAAAGAGTTTATTTTAAAAGAAGAGTCACTGTCATTATCATTGGTTACACTTGCATGTCAGAACACCTAAAAATTAATTTTTGAAACACATGTAATTCCTTACAGCTCTTCTTTGGTTTTCTAAAGGGCCTGAGGTTTCTGGCTGTAAATTTTACTCACCAGTAACTCAACCCTCTTGTGAAACGTGCAGAAATTGCAGAAAGCAGTTTGGTAAAGGAAGGCACGTATTTAACCTCAGCGAGACCAGCCCCTGGGAATAACACTGTTCTGTACCACAGCACGGGCAGTCTTGTGAAAGAGAAATGAATCAGGCACGTACTCTGCCCCGTAGCCTCATGGAAGCTGTACTGAACCAGTGGCTGAGGGGCCAGCTTTTCACCTTATTATACCTTTGGGGAAGAGAAATTACTATGGTTGAGGCATTTTGCAGTGTGCTAAGAGGTTTCACAATCCCTGGGCAGACAGAGATGGTGAAAGAGCCTAGACCTGTCAAGTTGAAGGAGTAAATCATTCTCTGCTCACGTGTCCCTGGCAGCCACCACCCGCTGGCCTGCCCTTGGGCTGCCTTTCCCTGTGCCAAGAGAGAGCAGTGCTGCCCATGCAAGAAAGGGGGATTTATCTGGGGGGAAGGGAAAAATGCTGTAGCCCAGGTATTAGATCTGAGGCAGAAAGGCCAAACCTAAGCCTAGAGCTCTGCTGCAGCCCTGCAGACACCAACACAACTCATGGGAGAAAACCGTACCCTACCTGACACACAGGCTGTGGCTGGCTCCAAAGATGAGCTGGTTTAGAAGACACCCATCTTTGGATTTCAGAGCCTGAGGGCTCACATTCTGCTCATGACCTCAAGTGAGAAATGCACAGAGAATTAGTCTTAAAGCTCTACTTAAGTCTACTTTATATCGACCAGATAGAAGTCAGCTGCTCAGCAAAACAGAGTTCTGCCAGGTTCTTTATGCCATATCTGAGATGGCATAGAGTCAGACCTATGCTAAAAATTGCTTTTAATTCAAAGTCATAGTGTTTCAAAGTTCATCAGTGTAGCTGGTCTACAGGTAATTTAAATTGAATTTTTACTGCACCAGAAAGCATTGGGTGCCAGCAGAAGTGAAAGGCAGAAGGCAACTCCATTCCTTCTGCTGGTTAAAAGGCACAGTTTTAATAGATTCCAGTTCCCTTGGGTGAGGGAAGCTAGCTGCAAAGTAAATCACAGAAACTAAAGGTTTGCTACACATCATGTGTAACTGAAGTAACACACTGCAAAAGGTATAAACAGTCACAAGCCCTCAACTGCAGAAACATGTGACCAAAATAACCGAGAACAAGTCACACTGAAGTAGAAGTTTGAAAAACAAATTTGGGGTTGATATCATTACTGTGATTTTTTTCTAAATCAACAAGATGACCGAGTACCAGTGGCCCTTCAATGTGCCAAACACAGCACAGCTCAAGTGATTACTACTATAGTGTTCCCTATTGACTTTTTGTTTTTTTATAGGATAACTAGTGTGAAATCTCAATCTCATGAGAGCAGAAAAAAGCTTTGAAGGAGGAAGACAGCATTTTCTTGCTCTCTGTTGGTGGCACACAGTCACATTTCCATGCACAAGACAGCAGTTCAAAAAGACATGTAGACTCTTGTCTTCTACCCAGTCATGATCATTAGGGTCTGATTTAAGACGTCTGAACTCCTGGGTGTACTCAGCTATTAAGGCACAATTTGACCTTGATTTCCAAGCAGTCATTGCTCTAAGCCTCTGCATTCTTCTTTGAATTGTTCCACCTCTTTATAGATTTTTCCAACTGACCCTTTTGATCCTATTTGAGGAAGCTGTGTGGGAGCAGTCCGTTGCATGAAGGAATACTAGGCCTGAAGAACAACAGCTGTAGCTGCAGCAGAAGTTAGAAAAACTTCTATATGGCAGTGTTTTCCTTTTAATTCCTATGGAATTGCCTTCTGAGTGCAAAATATGCTTAGCAGTTCATCTTAATTCTCTGATGACTTTGCCTTTCCCCAGCCAGCAGGACAGCGATTTTGCAGCTGCTGCTACTGCACCTCATTTATCAGCAGCTTCCCTCGCTGGTGCTGCGAGCACTGACAATTGTGCTCATAATTCACACAGAACAGGGACTCCACTCTGGAAGGAAACAAGAGCCACACAATGCCCTTCTGCAGCTTTCACAGCTGTGGGAGATACTTGGATGAAGTGGTTCCTGCTCCTGCTGGTGCCCACTGCCAGCCCCATATCCCTGACAATGCTCTGTAATGGCCAGGGAGCAGAGTGAAAATAATGGAAACAGAACGAATATATTCTGCAGTTTTCCAGGACTTACTCCTCTTCTTAGCATGGTATTAAGGTCAGAAATAATGACAGCTATCCTCACAGGATGCTTCTGTGGTGAGGAAGAGAGAAATTAGGATATATTTCCATAGGTTACCTTAGACAATCTGGCAGAATAACAATCAGATCTGATAAAAGCATCATGAACAGCAAATAGAGTTTGCAAAACTGAGCTATTTGATGCCAACCTAGAGCTAGGCAAGCAATCTGAAACCAGCTTTTACACTAACTGCAGCTGGGGAAACAGAGCAGGATTGGCACCGGTCCCACAAAACACGTTTTGGTATTATAGCCAGCTGTAGCTCTGGTACTTCACCAGCCCTTCAGGGGGAAGTTTTCCTGTTACAGCTACGCTGGAGTAAAGGGGAGCCAATGCTGGAAGGGACAGTCGTGCTTCTCCTCATCCTGGCAATGAATCCTCAAGGCGTCACAGTAACAACTCTCATCTGACCCCTACTGCAAGCAGGTGGGAAAGGGTGTATTTCCACCAGGAAACACAAGGGATCAGCGGCAGACTGGCTTAACTAAGGTGAAACTCACTGCCCCAGATTCTGGTTTCATCACTGCTTTAAGCAGACTTCAGTGAAAGGGGCACACCTATTGTCCTTTTCCCTGCTGCAGCCCCTTCCCTTGTGCTGGCAGGAGCACCTGCACTGGGTGAGAGCCGAGTGATCCAACCTCATCCTCATCATGAGCACAAAGATCAAATACTGTTTATTGGCTGGGCGAGGCTCTGAGCAACCTGATCTAGCTGAAGATATATCTCTGCCCATTGCAGGGAGGGGTTGAACTACAGGACCTTTTACAGGCCCTTCCAACCCAAACTATTCTGGGATTCTATAAATACTATTCCTATAGCAGGCACTCAGCCTTCTCTTTCTCTTGCTGTCAAACATTGCATTTCTTCCCCTTGACATGGGGGAAAAATTCAGGCTCCAGCTGGGCTTGGCATTTACTATCCTTCAAAAACTGCTGGTGCTTCTCAGGCATTCACTTTTACAAATGACATTACTTAATCTCAAGCAGCAGGAAGAAATCATTTAATGGCCTTTGTTTTGAGACAGTTTGCACGCTTGTCTAATTATCCAAAAGGCACCTTATCCCCAGGGGGATTCACCATCTCCAGCTACCCAGCAGCTGGCCAAAATCAGCCATCTCCCCAACAGCAACAGCCAGGATTGCCATGGCAATTTATCCCCTTAGAGAATGACAGTCACATCTTGTCCGGTCATGGTTGCTTTTCATCTTTGGTTTCCCACCACATGGATTAAAACAAGCAGCACCAAGACTGAAGCAGGAACTTAGTGGTACAGAGTCACATGGCATCCATATTTTTACTTTTTTGCTCATTTTTATATTGCCTCCTATCCTTTCACATAGTTTAAAGCCATAACACTGGCTGCAATATTTAGGCCCATACGCCTAATGCCAAGAAAAAAATGCATAATATCACTGTTCTTGTTATTAAAATGGAGAGATATCAACATGCTTGCATTGCCACAGCACAGCATCATCACAGATACCTGCAGGCCCATGTGTAAAAACTAGCTGTTTCTGTGAAGCACTAAGTTAACATCTTGTACGATCCACATGCTTGCCTGTAACACCTTCCCACTGCCTCGAACAAGAAACTCACTCAGAGACTTTGATCTCTTGCTTCTGCCTTTATTTTTCTGAGAACTAGCACTTCCCTTTGGTGATTACTGACTCCTGTTATGTCTCCTTAAGTGTTGCTCAGCTGCTTGTCATGAGTTCCTTTTTCCCACATAAGTCATACATCTACAGCAAAAAATAAAGATGCATAACAGCAAAGAAGCAGGTGCTCACAAAAGCAAAATACATTTATTTGGCAGCATCCATGTGGCAGATACTTTAGCTAAACCAGCTTTATAGGCAGAACTGTAATTGTCCACAGTATATAAGAATGAGCACATATTTTCTCTTTTTAAATTTCACAAAATTCATGTCTGAATGCCAGACACGATGTCTCTGACTCTTTAAAGCAATTGCCAGGAAGGGAAAAGGGAGGTGTATGCACCCCCCCCAGCCCAGCTTGGCCAGTAGGCCTGTTTGATGATGATGAAGTCATTATTTGAGGACTCAGAAGATGAGGCACTAACCTTTGACACAGTATCCCTGCAGTACCTTTGGCCAATCTCCCCATCTTTGTGTAATGAACAGGGGTAATTACCAGAATGCTGAGAAAACAAGCAGGAGCTGATTTTACGATGAGCCACAGACACAGGGTGAAAATTCCCAACCTGCCACCGGTCAAGCTTAGTCAAGAATTAGGAATGGTTAATCAGTGTGGTTAACCCAGCCCGGCACCGAGATGAAGTTGTGCTACAGAGTGAGTGGAAACAGGTTTAGCGAATGCAGAGATGATCTCACTGCTGCTGCAAAGCACTGTGCTACACTGACAAGCTGTGCTATCGGGATGCTCTGTGCTACACATCACCACAGAGTATGTAAAAGTGCGTTCAACTTGAGCAACTCCAGCACGCTGTAAAGTTCACATTTCAACCTCGGCTACAATGCTACCCAGCTCTGTGTCATGGCTGGAAGAAGGGCAGCACTTTGTGTGCACTTTGGCAGCCAACCATCATCAAACTATTGGAACTGTCACACGGCAAAGAGCAGGCTGGTGCTGCAGTGACTTCACCCCAGACCATTAACATCTTTGTTCTTTTCAGCACAGTCCCCAATTGTTAAGGAAATAATGGCACTTAACAACACACAGCAACACGCAGGAGATGAACTGCAGGTGCAGGTTGCTGCCTGGGTTCAGTGGGACAACAATTCCGAGGGAGATCTCCTTCTAGAGCTTTGCCTCCTGGGTGGGACCATTCAGCTCTTAGCCCTCCAACTAGACCAAGATCTAAAATCTCAGCCCTAATCGCAAAGCCCATACCAACTTTTTTTAGGGCTGGCAGAGCAGTTGCTGGCCACAAAAATAGACAAGCCAAAAAAGCTTTGTATATTTAGAAGAAAAGAGAGAATACTAATTTGAAGTGAAGCAAGGCAGGGTGGAGGAAAGCCAGCTTCCCTTTAAAGTTTAGCATGATCCCAGGGATGAACTAGTTAGATTAGGTCTTTTGCAGCAATATACTCTAAACATCACAAGGCTCAGGACAGGAAGCCTTGTGAAGACAAGAACAGCATTCTTTAATTACCAGCCTGCCCATATATCAAGAGCATCAGCACTTGCACTTGGGAAGCCACCAGAGCTTATTTAATTCAAACATATAATAACGTGCTGCTACTCCTGCAGCCACTCCCAGCAGCCAACAAATTACCTGCAAGACTCAGAATTTATTTAGCAACATTACAAATGGGCTTTGCATCTTTTCCTTGTGGTGTTTACCCACTCCTGAGCAACAGGAGAGACTGCTGCATTCTTGTGGGAAGAAAATAGCACCCGGCAAACCAGAGGCAGCTGTCTATCTTTGGGGTGCAGCCATGGCTCGGTGTAACACAGATGGTTTAAATACCAGAGGCCTGACAAGCTCACCTGGAATACTGGTGGCTATGTCCCAGCTGTACTGGCACTGCTCAGTCCATGGCAACAGCAGTAGGTTGGCATCCAGAGGACCCTGCTCAACAAGCCTTGGGGTTCAGCCACCCTTTCCACGTTAGGGACATCAGACTGTGACAGGAGACTGCCAGAAGTGTAATTGCAGTAACAAAAGGGCAAAGGAAAAAAGTTAGGTTTCTCTCAGTGCTAATTCCATTTTTGTTTCATTTCCCCCCCAGCAACTGCGCTATGACTGCAGTGTCCTTATATGAGTCAGTCCCTTAAAGAGGGCAGGAGATGGGATGGTTTGGAAATGTGATTTTTAATTTCACATTGCTTTCAGAGCAATTGTGTTTCAAGGTCAAAAAAGTTCCATTTGTACACAAGGACATAACTAGTTCAACAAACTACATTCCCCTATATTTTTCAAATAATAAAAAAATGAACAGTTTTAGATTTGACCATTTTGAGGTTTACAGGGCTTGTGCAGATTTTAAAAAGAAAAAAAAAAAGTGATGTAATACTGTAGAAAATGAAAAATAAAAACATTTATCTGACACACAGAAAACTTCTCAGGCTCATTTTGCCTAGGGAAAAAGAGATTAGGTAGCAAAAGAGTGCTAAAATGGTAACATTACAAACATATTTGAAACAATTTTGTTATATGCAGGGTTGGAATTCACTCCAAGAGCAGGCAAAACATTTTTGTGGGCAAAAATACTCCTGCCCTTGACACTATGGCACTTTTATCAGAACACACCAACCCACCCTGGGAAGATCTCAAGCAAGCCTAAGTATCACCTCATATTTCCACATCTACGACCATTTCTCTTTCCATGGGAGAGGGAGCTTTATTCCTTGGTGAGAAACTCATTCCTCTGGGAAGTCTGCTCTCTCTCAAACACCATTTTGTCAGATCACAGTGGAATCTCTTTCGTAGCTCCAAATGGAATAAAATCCAGTTTATGAGATTATATTTTAGTACTTGATTGTCACTCCTAAGCTCTTCAGACATGTGTTGACCTTTAGGATTTCGAGACAACGTGCTACTTGTACTGCTTAAACTGTTTTAGCTTTGGGATTGTGCCAGACAGACAACTGACTGCAACTATTATAAGAGTAATTTTCCAGCATGTGGATTACTAGCATGTGTCCACTTAAGCTAATTTTATATGGGATCAGAAGCCTTACAGGTCACAGTCTCATGGTTTGCCACTTGGCTTTGTGTCCTTTATATTCAAAATCCTGTTTTGTATGTTCAGTCCTGGCTGATCTCTTCAAAGATGTAAGTACAGAAAACCAAAGGCTATGGTGCACAGATGATCAGCAGAAAGCTTTGCTATATAACTTTTTCAAATAGAGAGAAAAGTAGGTAATAAGACTGGCAGAATTTCAGTACAATACTTAGTTACTTTGGAATATACTTCATGTTTACTGTTCCAGCCTTGAAACCGATTTTTACATCTGAGAAAACCTCCTGCATCAGATCTGTGATCCTCCTAGCCACTTACATAAGCAGGAAAACAGTTCAGTTGCTTGTTCACTATTAACACTTGTATTACTTCTATTCACATCTTCTAAACAAATCACAGAATCTGGCTTTAGTTTGAAGATTTTTCAAATCTAGGTATTATTTTTTTCCTTTGCAGCTCTCAGTTCTAAAAGCTTTTTGGCCACCCTCTCAGCCACACCATGTAAGTATCCATTAACGCAGGTCTCCACCCCTTCCCAGGGCTTGGCTACTTTATGTCTGCTAGCCTCCGCATCTCCCTCCTCCTAACCTGCCACCATCCCGAAGATTTGGATTCTGAGAGACTGGCTAAGTGCCCTTTAAAAAGAAATTCAACCAGCTGATATGATCAACAGCTTAACTACAACTTTTTTAAAGTAGTGAAATCAGAGAAGAGTTTCACGGAGTCTTACAAGGCCTGTAGGGAAAAACAGGTTGGCGAACTGCACAAATCACCAAGACAGTCCAACAGTTCACAAGTATCAAAAAGGTCAGGAACTAGAGCAGTCTCACTACGTTTCTGTTCCTAGCTGAGGTGTCCTATCTCTTCACCAGCCCCTTTGAGCCAAAGTAAGCATATTAACCCAGCAGCATTTTGGTTTTTTAGCCAACACACTTCATCTGCCTGTAAGGGACTTAATGAGCAAGGCAGAGAATAAGCAGCTTGCAGATGCAGCTGGTATGACAGGAGGAAAAAACAGACAGGTAATTGGGTTTTCTCCTCACTATCCTGTCCTCCAAGCCAAAGTTTCTGGTTTTTTTTTTATCTTCCAATCCTTGGTAGCTTGAACAACAAGCATTTTAGTCTATAAGTAAGAAATGCTTAGACCCTACAAATCAGACTAACTCAGACCTGCTCAAAGAAGCGCAAATACAGATGATCATCTCATTTTATTTCTCTTTTTATTTCTAAATAAGGATTTTCCAGTAAGCTTCAGAATACTAAATGGAAAGTCAGGTCATGGAAGATCTGAGAAAAATCAAAGACCACTTTATTTGAAACTAAATCAGATCAAATGCACTAACCATTTCATAATCTAGGAGACATGAGGGGTCACTCACTCCAGTTCAGTTGAGCAATTTTAGAAACTGTATTTATTATCTAACAGCAACATGTTTTTCAGGTAGCTCAAATGCTTGTGGAAAGAACTAAGTACCAGCAACACAAGTATGTGGAACCTCTGCATCACCTATTCCAACAGTCAGTCTTCATTTTCCACTATTTTTTGTCCACATTTTTCACACTGTAAGAGCTCTTGTTTACATGTAAATGGGGTAAAACTTCCAAGGATGACAACAGTGTTGAACAAAGCTCCAAATTTTGTGCAGCCTTCCTGTTAGACACTTCTTGTCAATTACTTTGTTAATGAGTTATCTAATAATCCATGCCCTGTGAGACCTCAGCTACAACAAAACCAGCAATTTCAGAAGCTTTAAAAAAGGAAGATACCAAATACCACTTCTGTTGATTTCAGAAAGTTTATTGCACCAAATGCCGCAAAGAAATTGACCAAAATGATAGCGTACATAAACAACTATAAGAAAAAACCATGTAGTTTGACATTGGTATTCAGTCATTCCTAAAAAAGCCTATGTTCTCCAAACATGCAATAGCAACACACATTTTTCTACTATGAAAAAACTTGCCATGAATGTCAAATTACCTCATTTGACCTCAACACCCCCCTCCCCCTCCCCCAAAAAAATTAAAAAAAAAAAAAAAAGAAAAAATAAAGGAAAATGTCTAGACTATATTCAGTAGTTCAGACCTGATTTTTATTTGGGTCCTTTTAACTGAAATAGAAGTTATACTTGAAGGGTAAGTGATCATTTCATGTAAACCTTATATACAGGAGTTTGATGCATCTGAAAAGAGGTTTTGAATTTACAAGTAAAGATGCTTATAATACAAAGTGGGGAAAAATCCATCTATAATTCTGGAGGATGACATCAGAAATGTGAATTACAGGATCAGTGTCTGTTAGTTTTTTGGGGGCAAAAGCAAGTTCTATAAATTAGTTCAGAGCGTACCAACTTAAATGAAAATGCTTAAATCTTGGTATTGTTTGGGATTAAAGAAGTAATTTCAATTAGATTTTATAATTTAGCAATTCATTCCTCCCCTACGTTTAGTCTTGCCTGAAAATAGCATACATTCTTTAAATTTCAGTGTGTAAACTGCATTTATGTGGGATTTTGGACAGACTGTGCACTCCCACCTAACCAAGAAAGTATGTATTTAAGTTTACAAAAAACCTACATAATACTGATAAAAACAACTTTGGAATATTTGAAAATTAAGCTACATTATCAATTTTCAACACAGCTGTACATTCATATCACTTTTCATCCTATTAAAATAAAACAAGAAACATGCCCTAAAAATGTCTAAAAAATACATCTGTAAATACTTACTGCCCTGTCATGCCACACCAATTTACATAAACATCAAGATGCTACTGAAAACAAGTTAAAGACTTAGAGTCAAAAGAAAAAAAAAAGCCCTAGAAAGTGGAATCCTGTCAACTGAGGTAGTACATTTGGTGGAGGAGGAAATATGTAATTAGCTTTCATTAGTCTAAAGCCTTTTAAAGGTAATAAAGGGCTTTCATTTTGAATTTTCTTTCCCCCAAAACTAAAACTGTGAGAATAAAATAGTTCAATGTGTAATTTCTGAAGAGCAGCAAAATGTTAGAGAAAGCAGCAAGAACTATAAAGTTTTAGCCTGGGCTGAAGAAAATACAAGTGGTGCTTTTGACCATCAGCTCACATGCCACCATGAAGTTAACTTATGTCTTGCCCAGAGGCAGATTTTTTTTTTTTTTTTTTCAAACAGTTGATGTGGTAAAATCAGGTCTAGTATCGATTACGGTATTAATCTTGAAATCACTGAATGTCTGCAGATCTCTGTCCTCTTTAGTAAACTCTGTGATAACAAAAGCACATCTTTATGTTAGCATATATTTCTTTGAATAACTTTCAGAGTCTGTTCAGATAAAAACCCCACTTTAAAAGAACTGGACTGACTTTTAATGATCTCAGCTACTATTTAAGAGTGACATGAAATAGAGAAAGTACATGAGGATTTCTATATACACTCAGAGAAGCAGTTTCATAGTCTTACACATGCACACACACATTCTCCATCAAGAGGGTAGTTTAGGAATACATGACTTGCTCTATGGTTCTTACTTTGTTTTAACCTTGTGAAATAGAAAGTGGTATCTGCTAAAAGCCATATGCAGAGGTAACTTTACTTTCCAGCAAATAGGATTCACAGACCAGAGATATGAAAAGTTTGCTTTGCTATAAAGCAGGAGGAAAAAACCTGAACCATAGAAAGATTTTATCCTTTTTAGGCAGAATAGTAAGGAGACATATGAAAATGCAATAAAAGAAACATTTGGAATGTCAGGTCAGAAAACCAGCATAGAAGGAACAGCTTTAGAAGTGTTGTATCAGAATATTAAGTGGAAACAACCTCTTTTCACAGTAGGCCAGTCTACCTATTTCCCTCAAAAAGCAACACAAGGTTAATCAAGACCCCCATCACATTTAAACAATTCACAATAAGCACATTTCATTATTTCAAATCATTGAAAGTTTACTGTAGAAAAGTCCAAACATCAAGGTAGTAGGAAATAAAAACACTTTCAATAAAAGTGTGTCCCTTCAGTGTTAAAAATCTGTAACCACCAACAAGGAGAACTCACAACTGGTGACCAGGAGTTTCTTATTAGAATTCACTATTTTCAAGCAATTGTGTTGCCAAGAATTTGCTTGCAAGATGACAATTTCAGACATCATATTCAAGGTGGCTCAGAACAGTCCAACATTGAATTTTCCTTTTAAGAATGTTTTGATCCTTTGTTCTCTCCTCAGTCTGGTCCATAGTTTCATATCCAGCTTAACAGTGCTTTATGCAAAAAAAAGTATTTTTTACATTCATTTTAATCAACCACATGAAAACAGTGAAGTACAAAATTTTATTTTGCTTTCTAGAAACACCAAAGGCCAGTATCAGCTTGTGGAGAAGTAGTTTCTGGTGTCAGAGTAGTTAACCTAGTAAGGAAAGGCACCTGGATGATAGTTCAAGATTTCTGTAGAATCAAAAAAGGGTAATTGCAAACATTCAGAATAATATCAAATATTGGGGTTTGCCCCCTACATTTCCTTTTCCTTCAAACAACATTCTTCTTTTCTTCCTACTCAGAGTGACAATTTGTAGCTGGAAAAAAGCAATACTTTTGACTAAAAGTTTGGTAGGGGTTATTTGTTGTCTCGTATTTCCCCAATACGATTGTCTTCAGTTTGTGCCAATTGTTTGGTGTATGTGCACATGGACACGTGCTCACAGCACTGGCATCACTCATAAGTTTTTCAAATTCATACTCCTTGGAAGATAGCAATACTTGATGACACCAAACAAGTTTAGTTCCCAGGACCACAGTCATACAGCAAATCAACAGTTACTGAAGTTGCATCAGCAACAAATGTAAACTTGTAGCAGAAGTTCCATAAGGCTTTCCCACAAAATCCCTCCCTTGGAAGTCCATTCCATTCCACTTGTAGCCACGGGCCCATCTGAATGCCTCCTCATTAAAACAGAAGCAGCCACAGCTCTCAACCTCTTGTCCTTAAAAGAAGACGACACATCAACCTCATGCACACCTCCATTCCCATGACATTTGGCTGCTGAATTCAGGTTCCTTGTTCTGAGCCCATCACTTCTACTATACAAAATCATGTATGCTCTGCAAGAAAATCATGTCCCACCTAATACACTTTTGTATAGGAATGCTATATACAGAGTTTACAGCTCCTCCTCCTCCCCAGCAAAGAAACATACACCACACCACACTCACAAGCATAGTTTTGTAAAATCCATTCTAACCCACTTGTTCTTTTAACTGGTACTTCATGGTTTTGAGCAGCGTTTTGGATGGCAGCACCTGATCTGCCACATAGTGTTAACTTTTGTCCTTTGAATAAAAATAAAACGCAAGGATGCAGTCTCTTGATTTATGTCAGAAGTGAGTTTGTAAGAAAAACCTGAATGCCTTTTTTGTTATGTAAACTGAAGTCCTCTGATAAAACATCTGGCTGAAATCAGAATCAGAAGGTGGTAGAATGTACAGTCATCACCTGCTTTCATCAGTGCTCCCCTTTACCAGTGTTTGGCACCTCTGTTCTTCATTCAACATTCCCATTTTCATAACTGTACTTTAAGGGAATGACTATCCTGAGAATTTAGTTTATAAGAGTATTTGAGCAACATATGGGGAATGAGTACTTGCTATAGCAGCCAACAAAGGCAAGTCATTGGATTCAATCCTAGAAATTAAAAAAAAAGAGACAGACATTAAAATAATATTCAATCACTTTTTGCAAGAGAAATACAAGATGATACTTCTCATCCATTTTAAAGAAACTGGAAGTGTCTTGCTATTACTAAGTTCATTGTTTAATTATTATTTGCTGTCAATAATCATATAATACCAGTAAAGGTAGGTAAATAATGCTTAAAACCTCTAAGTATGCTAGCAGTTAAATTAAAAGATAGCAGTATTACATTTTGTGCTATATAATCTTTTGTAGTTTAAATAAAAGATCTTTTATTTATTTGCTAAACCATAAGCCTTAGCTTATAGTCTTACCAGTGAGTAGGCACCAATAAGCCCAGTTTAACAAAGTACTAAATATCAGCTTATGGAAGATTATGCATTTCAAGTTTTGAATACAACTCGGTTCACTACATAGTATCACTTTCTTACCAAAAATGACCAAAAGCTGAAATTGTTATGCAATAACTGTTCAAGGAATGTCTCTCAAGTGCAGTGGTCAGTTTCCAACTACTTCTAAATGTGAAGCTGCTCAGAAGCCAGGATGTATGTCATATTTATACATATTTAACATGAACACACAGAAAAGTGCTTATTTTAGGGTTTCACTATTTACAGCTACATTTCTGAATACGAAATCTTGAACAGTCTGGAAAAAGATAAATTAGATTTAATTTACAGTGCTAAAAAACATCTTGAGAAAGTGTATTTCCTTCTTCCTCCTTTTGTGCTGTCAGCAGGCAGATCCCTAAAGGTTATATGCCAATCAATACTATTATTAGAAGACAGCTGCTGAACAGGACACCTGTTTATTTTTGAGACCGTCTCATCCCACAAGACACAAATGCACCCTTTTCATTCCAAAAATTCTGAAGTATTTGTTGGGATGAAGTTTCCATTAAGGACATCACAACAGAAGAGGGTATATATGAATGCATGGAAAACTTTCTAATGATCAAAATCCAAACTTTCTTAATTCTGAAGATTTAAAAATGACAAGTATTTTGCTGTATAAATGTCTCCTCCTGATTTTGAGACAGCTCAGTAGAACCCTAATAAGTTTTTGCAACTTATTAGGCACATGAAAGAGGAGTGTTAAATAAGAAGCAAATCCTCATGGAGAGCAAGACGTCAGATGAAAAGGAAAAATAACTGCCCCAGCTTTTGCCATTGCTTAAGACTGATACCTGCAATACTCACCCCAATACAATTCCTAGTTCTTTTACATGCACTCTTGTATGTCCTCGCAGATATTCTGAAAGCATTTTGCTTTTGAGATACATCTCTTGCAGTCTGTCCTCAAGATGCATTATGCACTGAAAATACAGACCAAAAACCTCAGAACAACTTTTGCAATCGCATGCAAACATTACAGAAATGTAAGCACAGCACATCACTTCACCTGCTATCTTAGAAGATAAACTAAGTCTCCACTCCAAAATCTAGAAGAGGCAGTTGGATTTATTACAACTGTGCTATGAACATTAAAAAGTTACACTACCCCACAAAGAGGAAACCCCTCATAGAACTGGGGCATTCCAGCTCTCTTGGGCAGCAAGTTTGTTGCACAAACTGCACCCCTATTTCCACTCAAGTCACTGCATTTCTGCTGACTTCAAGTTTTAATGACATTCAAAATGACTCAAGATACCTTAATAAGAGTTAAGGCAGAATTCTTGGATCAAGATGTCTTTGTTATAAGTCAGTCCTATTTTTCTGAAAGATTTGGTATAGACAACAGTTTCTAAAATTATCATTCTAGCTCTAAGGCTCTAGTGCCATTCAAGAAACTAAGACTCAAGACGTGGAAGACACCAGTACCTTATTCATCACAGAATTCTAACTCCTTTGCTGACTGCTTTCCTGTAGCAACTAAGTTACAAATCCATTTTAGGCATTTGTTTTCATAATTCCTAAGTACTTCTAGTTTAAAATTGCTTAAACACTTGATGCCAATTGCCAAAAGGTAATAGTTCAAGTTGAAAGCTCAATCATTCCACTTTTCTTCCAGTAGTGGAATGCTAGAAATGCATATTATTTTTAAGTACAGCCATGTGATTCATGGCAATTTCTCATATACCAACTAAAAGAGAGCAGATGAACCTTGGCTTCAAGGAGAGAGAGAGGCTAGCTATTCTGGCAAGACAAGGTCAGCAGGC